AAAAAAAAAAAAACTTTCCCCCCCCCCCCCCCCCCCCGGCCGGAAGGAGACGCGACATTCGGGATATCCCGTAGAATTGGCTCGAGTCCACGAGAGGAAGAAGAGACTCACGCAGGCAGGGTCCTTCGTGGGCGACGGGGATGGCTCGTCCCAGTTCGCACGCGGCCGATTCCAGTTCGCACGCGGAGGGGTAGGTCCGGCCGTCGGAGCCGCAGAGGTCGGAGCCGCCTTCGTCGCACGTCGACGCCGCGCGGCAGGCGACGCAGTGCGGGTCGCCGTTCTGGTCCAGGACGCACCGCAGATCCCCGGTGCAACGCACAGACTGGCAGCTTTCTGTTGGCAACAAAAAATAAATAAATAAATTTCAATACCTAAAATAAAATAAAATAATGAATTAAATCAGGGGTGTCAAACTGAAATCGGTCGGCGGGCCGTATTCCTTACCCAGCAGATGCCTGCGGGCCGCACTCATAAAATTTCACTGAAATTTGTGCTGACAATCAATCCATGCGGAAAATTTCAAAAGCAGACGGTGGGCCGGATGAACCACCTCTGCGGACCGGATCCGGCCCGCGGGCCGTATGTTTGACATCCCCGAATTAAATAAAAATTTTCAGCTAAAAAAAAAACTGAAGAATTTGCGACTGTTTCCCCTGTCAGTGGTTTGTTTCGCGTCGCGTGGCCTCGTGCCCTTCGAGCGACACGGACGCTTCCGGATCCTCGAAGGTCAAGGTCTCGGTCTCGACTGCAGAGACTCCACGACACAAACACGGCGTTGCCGTGTTACGGTGTCACGTCGGAGCCGCGTCGACGCGCCCTTCGATCGGCTACAACCGGTTCCTCGGATTCGCTCGAGGTGGGAAAAAAAAAAGGACTCCCTCGTTTTTTGGCAGGATCCCAAGTTCGTCTGGGAGTTATGCAATGGGAGATTCCAGCTGGGAGATTCTCGGTTTGGACGCACACATTAAAAAAAACAAAGGATTTTAATGTATGAGCTCGAGCGACGTTGGCAAATTCCGCGACGGAATCGATCGCGCAGTCTCTTCGAATGATCGTCTCGACCGATCGATGAATTTCTCAGAAACGACGAGTGCTTCCGACCTCGATCGATGATCGCCGCCGACACCCATCTCGAGATCGACACGGAGCGCGATCGGGGCCGGGGTGTCTGGGGGCTCGGAGGCTTGGAATCCATCCAAGGTCACGCCGATCGAGCGCATAGCATTCGCTTTCTCCAGATCCATTGCCTCTTTGTGGGGTGGGGGACAAAAAATTTTATTCAAAATTCCAAGAAAAAAGCAGAGCAGCAACCTCCCCCCTCCCCTAAAGGAAATTTGAAAATGGGAAAATTACTATTAAAATAATATTTAAAAAGAGAGATAAAATTCCCGGTTTATTTACTGGAAAAAGGACGACGCAGCCTCATGTTCAAAGAGGAATCGGAAGCAAACTTCGTCCGGAAGGCAGGGATTCCGGACGGGGGCAATCCGCACCCATCCCCGTCTAATTCGCGTCAGGCTCCAATCGGGTACGCATCGGTACCGGTACTGATACTGGGTACAACGACCTGGCATTCCTCGCTCGATATCGGGCCTTTGCCCTGGGATGATCGGGACTCGAGCAAGGGGGAGGTCCCATGGGGGAGGTCACTTATTTTATTTATAGCTCCAACGATGCATGATGCATCTCGTACCCGTTCCAGTTCGGGCGAGTGCATCCAGTACTCTCCAAGTACATCCGTGCTACTACGATACTATCGATGCGCCACGTCCGAAAGCTCCTCGACCTTCACCGTCGAGGAGAAGGGTGTGCAAGAAAATTGATGAAACGGAACGAGAAACTTTCATTTTACTTTCAGGTGTTTCAATCACGAAACTGCTCTATTTTGGCATGGAACTTTAAAGTTGGAACTCATCCTCATCCTCCCAACCTCGAATCTCTCCAAAAGTATGGGACCGAAAGATAAAACCCGATGCACAACAGCGGGAATTCATATGGGAAAGGGCAATAATAGAGCTTCGAGTGCAATTATTGCCTCGTGATAGGTGTAATAGATGCGGGAGAAGCTCGTTTTATTTCGGTACCTGCAGAAGTACCAGTACAAGTACCAGTGGGTCCCGGCACGACATCGGCCCCCAAATCCCGAAGCTGCGACTCGGATTCCTCGGGAGAAAAAAAGCCTCGAGGAATCGTTAGCCCGTTCGCCCTTTAATGCCCGTTCGCCCTTTAATGGATCCGGTAGGCCAACGCGACGGGCAGACGTTTTACAATTTCCATCTTTACATAGAGACGATCTGCAATTTTTATTTTTATCGCTGTTTTTTTAAATTATTATTTACGACCCTCTTTCGCTTAAAATTACGACCTCTTCGAGAGGTCGGCCGAGATCCCGGATTTTTCCTGGAAAATCGCTTCCCCCTTCGGATAGCAGTGGGGAATTTCGCTCGTCTGCGCGAAATTTCTGCATCGACTCGACGCGATCAACGACTTATGAATATGATCGCGTTCCGGCGTGAAGGCGTGCAAGTGCGAAGGCGTGCACGGTTGTGGTCTACCTCATCGCGTCTTCACTTTTCGGCGTTCTTCTGCGGTCGCGGTCGTCAACAGGACGTAGTTTTCGATCGCCCCCCCCCCCTCGCCCCGCCCCATTCCCCCCAAGAAAAGGGTGGAAACGAGATTCGGAATCATGTGCGACGACAGGAACGATCTTGCGGTGCCGAACCGACGATTTTCTCCTCGTGGGAATGGCATTCTGCGGTTTTCATACTCTTCGATTAACTCCCTCGAGCCTCGTTATTCCGCCTGTATTCACGACGACGACGCGGGTCGGACTCGCCTCGGGACCCCGCTCCGACCAGCGAACTTAACTCTTAAGTTAAATTTACCTTACGACTTAACGACTCAACGATAAAAAGACACATGAGCGCAACAAAAAATACGATATCGAGTATAAAACGGTGGTCGGTGATAGCACGAGATGCAATCCTTGATTGCCTACATTAGTGGCTTTTTTTTTTTTAATGAACTGGTCCCGCATTCCCCTCGGCAGGTGGAATCGCCCTGTCTAGGAGGTAAGCAAGTTTACGATACGGGATCGAATGACAAATTTGCGCTCTCTTAGAAAGAGGCGAGCATTAACTCCAGTTTTCCTCTCTTTTCCACCACGGAAAAGCAAAAAGATCATTGGAGTAAATTTTGAGGAAAATTTCCCCAAATAAGGAAAGGAAACTGGAGTTACACTCTCGAAAAGAAGGGAGCGCTAAGAGCAAACGGAGTCGATCCGATTCGCCAACGGTTCCCACATAAACTTTAATGCACTATCAACCTCTCTTCCAAACTCCACAGAATTTTCATATATATTTAATTTAATCGGATTTAAATTAAATAAAATAAAGGACGTACGTTGGCAGGGGCCTTGGTACTCGAGCTGGAGCGTCGGGTCCTTCCCCCGGCACTGCCGCTTCCTCAGGCGGCAGACGTGCTTGTAGGTGCGGGAGTCGGAGCCGCAGACGGGGCCGTGCTTCCGCTCGCGGCGCGTGCACGGCGGGGCGCACACGCAGCGGACGCGGCCGTGGCGCACGGCGCAGCGGCCCCCTTCGCCGCACTTCACTCCCGAGCACGACTCTGCAAATCGGGAAAAGATGGGATTTTTTCCCGCGATTTCCTCTCGTCGCGAAAAAGAAACGAACACGTTAAATGACACGAATAACTTTTTTTCCCGCAGAGGATCGTTTTCGGGGCGAAGGGGACAGAGGGGGACAGCGCAAGCCGGGCGACAAGGTCCATTTCAATTCCCACAATCAATGGCATAGCGGTAATCATAGCAATCATACGTTCAACGGAAATCCCATCTATTTTCCTCGCACACGCTTTTCTCATCCCTTCCCTCAAACTACACAACCAAATGAGGGGAGGGGAAGAAGGGGGAAGGAGGAAGGGGGGGGGGGGAAGGGGGAAGAACGGCGAGAAAGTGTAACGGTGCCCCCGCAATTAGAACTGCGGCCATTCACTGCAACAGGAAGAGAAACGCCGTTGAAAGTACCGGGGAGACAGTACACACGCGGTGATCGATAGGGAAGGAGGACGGGCCGGAGGACGGGCTGGAGGGCGGGCCGGGGGACGGATCGGGGGACGGGCTGGACGTGTCCCCGAAACCCCTGATTATCCTCCATAGATCAATCCAGGGGGGGTTCAAGTCCGAGAGTAGATGATGATCGCGATTTCCTCCGTTCTCACAGGCTTCCGTTGCGGGGGGGGAGGGGAGAGGGAGGTCCGGAAATCGGTTTGGTCACGAGGTGTGAGGCCGGATAGGCGTTGTCGTCGTCCAGGTGTCGCGACCGGCCAGTTTTTCAAAGGTTTTTCCCTTATACCGTTTCTAATTGGGGTAATGACCCAAAATTACCAATTACGCATGTCGTGTCCTTCGCATCCACGCCTCATCCGGCATTTCATCCTCGAGGGAGCGGATCACTCACGAACCGAAGAAACTCCGGCGCGACATCCGGCAACCGTGTCATCATCAGACGACCGCGTGGCATCCGGCAACCGTGTCGATCCGGCCCGGAATCCCACACGAAAGCCGCAAACGCCCGACGGATCATTTCAGTTTCACCACAAAATGGCGCATGGACAACGACGAAAGGGCACGTGTCTCGCACTACGAGACCTTTAATTTCTGAGAACCCACTATTTTATTTTTATTTTTATTTTTATTTTAGCTATAAATATTTTTAAAGAGTTAAATTTTATGTGGAATGAACCTAGAGGTTTGGTTTGGATGAATAATATTCCATATTTAGTAGGGTTTAATTTTAATGTTTTTTTAGCTCCTAATATTAAATCAGAAGAAATTAGAAACAACAGAAATCCTAAAAATAATTATTTCAGAATTGAAGAAAAATTAGAAGGCAATATTTCTTTTGTGGATGCTTTAGGCTCTAATACAGGTCTTTTTCAATTCGATAATTTATATAAAGGAAGTACCACTGCTGCACACGAATTTGGTCATACACTAGGATTACGACATCCCATAGATTGTGATTTAAGAGGCAAAGGAATTCCTGGCATTATGTATCCAAGAGGAACTTTGGTTGACCCACAATTTCAATATGATGCAAATGCAAAAGCTGGTGAAAAAGGTGGAACGATGTATCCTATTCATAGAAAAGTTTTACAAAAAGATATTGATGATTTGGGATTGTTTGATTTAATCAATAACAAACAAAATGTCATTGGGAAACTGACCAATGTGTATCATTAAATATTTTATTTATAATATTGCCAAACCTTAAAGACAATTTTAAAGTCTTAAGGGTATAAAAATATTATTATGAGAAATTTTAAATTCATTACTTCTTTATTGATGGCAATTATGTTGTGTTCAACTATTATAAAAGCACAAATGGTGGCTGTTCCAGATGTAAACTTTAAAAATAAGTTAGTGACTTTAGGCTATGCAAGTTGTATGAATGTGACACAAGATTCTATTAATGCATCATGTACATTGGTACAAAATACTACAGCATTAAATTTACAATCCTCATCTATTGCTTCTTTGCAAGGTATTGGCGCTTTTGCAAATTTAAGTTCTTTAGATTGTCAGTTTAATCAATTGACAACCATTCCTACTTTACCAAGTAATTTAATGGGATTTTTCTGTAGCAATAATCAATTAACAAGTATT